TATTTATATTTTGTTGCAAGATATACAATTCTTAAGGACTACATTTTTATCTTTGAAATAAAACCAGATATCAAATTAATACACAATAGATGATGTTTTTTCAAAATTCGTTTCAAAGTCACGTAGTTAGGTCCTTTACCGTAGTGTTACGGCTCTTCAAGTTCGCTTGAATACGAATAATCGTTAAAATGTACGAAAAATCAAGATTATTAATAATGAGTGATATTCAATCCAGGCATCTTAAAGTGTTTAATAATAGTTTAAATTAATCTGACATCCAACTGTCAATGACAACGCATAATTTAAATTAAAAGTATGTAAGTTAATGTAATTTTAAATAAAACTTTGAAGGCAAAAATCGCTCGTGTCCAAGTCTAGTGTATACTAAGATTTACTAGTACAACCTATAATACATTCAAAAATCTGTAAAACTGTAATCGATTTGTACATACTAAGAAATTCTATCGAAATCTCTTAAGAGTCGGATATTGCAGTAATCGATTTCTTTGATCCCATCGCTACAGTTCAATCTGTCAGAACTGTCAAACGGTACCTCTTAGATTAGATGGACTATGGAGTTTGGAGTTGCTTAGTTTTATGAAAATGATCATCTGTGCTATATCTGACCTAAGATAACAGTGTATCTGTCCAGTTGATGACAATAACGTACCACCTTATTACGTACGTAAGTGAGACTAAAATTGAAGTTCGCAAAATGTAGGCGTTTTTACGCATCTGTCTACCACTTCGAGGCTAAAGGCATGATTGTACGGTGTATGTAACGGTAACAGAATTCAAAAGATAAACCTATCCTGTCATTAAAATAAAAAGTCCAAAAAGTGATTATAGGCACTGAGGCTCGAACGGTCACCACTCGTCATCAGGCACACAATGGAAGTGAGCTACTGGTTCGAATGACTATTGTGTTGAATTTTACCATCGCTTTCAAATAAGTGCTACCTCTGGAAGCTCAATATTAAGTAAAACGTATCACATCATCACATAAACAGCCTAAGCAGCCTGGACATAAGCCTCTCCTTAGAAAGGAGGGTTTGGCCTACTATACCACGCTATCCAGACGGGTTGGTATAGGGTTTGAACTTTTCCTTCTCTCTGCAGTGCTGTCGTTCTGCATAGTTTTCTCCCTTAGTCGGCAAACGTATAAATAGGTGTGAGTGTTGTTAGTGTTTTTTTTTACATGGCAATATTTTCATAGCCACCACTTGGTTACTTGGAAGTCCACCACTGCGCACTTTTTAAGAAACTTTTTTTTGCCTCGCACAGCCAACTTGTGGAAGAAGTTATCGTTTGCGGTATTTCCAGACAAATACGACCTTCAAACCTTCAAGAAAAGAGCGTACTCCTTCCTCAAAGGCCTCAAGACTCCTGAGTTGCAGGCGTTCATGGGCATCGGTAGTCTCTTTCCATCAGGTGACCCGACAGCTCGTTTGCTCCCTCTTCCATAAAAAAAAATGTTTTAATTATCTGGTTATACTATGTGTGTGCGTTAAAACATCACACACAAAGATAGGCGTAGAACCGTGCTACTGCATTTATGACCCCAGACTGTACCAATATATATAACAACTAGCTGAGACCCGCGGTGTTACCCGCGTTTGTTGTTATAACCGCGGGCAACGCCGCGGGGCGAAGCTAGTCTAAAAATGTAGCCTAAGTTACTCCTTATGTCATCAGCTATCTGCCAGTGAAAGTCCCGTCGAAATCGGTCTAGCCGTTCCAGAGATTACCCGGAACAAACAGACAGACAGACAAAAATTGTAAAAAATGTTATTTTGGTATATGTACCGTGTAAACGTACATAGGCATTTAGTAAAAAGCGGTTATTTTAATATTACAAACAGACACTCCAATTTTATTTATTTGTATAGATATAGAAGATGTATTACTGTAACATAACATAACGTTACGTAACATTAGGTACATTTTACACGCGCTAATTGTAACTTTTACAAGGTAATATTTGCTAAAGCCATGTAAATTTGTATTACACATGACAGTATATGTGGAGTCATAAATATTACTTGTAAACTGTCAGACAATGTTACTATAATAAAAAGAAGGTGGGTTAGTGACCACTCACCTTTATACTTACCGTAAAAAAGAATGGTCTATCAAGGGGTGATAAGTGGTAGCCAAATAGGTTAACACATTGGAAAGTTAAGCAACTCCTAACCAGGTCAGTATATGGATGGGTGACCATTTTTAACATATTGTGACCCCTTCGTGCCTCGGAGAGCATGTTAAGCCATTGGTTCCAGTTGCCTTACGCGAAGACGAAGAAGAGAAGAGAAGTCCGACAATAGTCTTTTTCAGAACTTCGATATTGCCTAGTACCCCTAGTACAGCCAAGTCGGTGTCACCTACACCTTATAAGTGAGAAGTGCTTGTGTTGCACGCGCGAGTTGACGAGTCTTAAAGTATTCTCGTATTATTATTGCTAGGTATATCGTAGTGTTTCCTTTGCTGACACCGACTCCAAAAATAACAATAATTGTAACTACATTATATTCAGTTTATTTTACTTAGGAGAACTCAAATAAATATTTTGATCGTTGTTTGTTATTCACAGGTATATGTTAAATTAGATTTGAAATGGGCAGATACCTACCTACCTTCTTGCGCGGTTAACACATAGATCGTACCTACATATAGATGAGTAGAAAAAGTAAGTTGATTATTAAGTTGCAGAAGAATATGCATCTATTTTTTTCCTTTTTAGTGCATATTAATTTATTTTGGAATAGTGTTTTTTGAAGTCGGTTTTTTTTTGTTAAAAATTTTTGTTTATTTTTTGCTTTTTAGTGAATCTGAAGTACACTTACTAATTTGTCTGAATATGGATAGACCTAATAAACGTGCTGCTCAAATGAGACAGCGCCGTTTGAATGAAACTAAGGGAGTCAGGAAGAAACGCCTATATCAACAGAGGCAATCTACCCTGTGATGACGGATTAAGAATACAGAATGTCACCACCCCTTTTAATGACATGGGTGTCGTAAGAGTCTAGTGAGGGAGCAAACTACGCAGGACAACAGCACTGCAAAGAGAAGGAAAACTTGAAATAAACCCTATACCAACGCGTCTGGCCAGCGTGGTATAGTAGGCTAAAACCTCTTTTCTAAGGAGAGGCCTATGTCCAGCAGTAGCTTATTAAAGGCTGTTGATGACGACAATTACTTGACCATAACGACGTTACTGTAGGTGACTCAAATATCCAGATAGCCCATAAAAGATTCAGCCGAGTATCGTTAATTTGCTCCTAAGAATTGAAGAGTTCCGTTACTTTGTCGTGGATCCCATAATCAGAATCTAACCAAACTCTCATCAAAGTACCCTTAAAGTACATCCATTCCAATAAAAAAAGAGTTATCGAAATCGGTTTGCGTGAAATTGAGTTATTCGTCTATTTGTCGCGAACATACTAAATGCAAATTAAAGACTTATATGGTTTTCTCATGGATGCCATAATCAGAACCAAACCAAATTGAAATGGAACCACACGGGAAGCACCAGCTTTCAAATAAAAAAAGAATCATCAAAATCGGTTCACCTAGTCAAAAGTTCTGAGATAACAAACATAAAAAAAAAAAAAAAAATACAGTCGAATTGAGAACCTCCTCCTTTTTTTGAAGTCGGTTATAAAAAAAGGTTTTAGTTACATATTAAATAAACTTTTAAATTTTAAAAAAGTATTCAATTATTTTATTCAGCAAATTTGGCAATATTTTTAATTGCAAATTTTCTTTAAGGTCTAAAAAATTTCAAGACCAACAAAAACAAAACTTATAATGGTGGAATAATACGTAATAATTTAAAATTGAATAAAGAAATCTTGTTGTAGTTATAAAAATATTATTAAATAACACATTTCATTTGAGATAAATTTAAAGTTAACCCGTCGGCGGCGCGCGGTACGTTGCGGGCGGATGCTCGCGGGCGGCGCTTATAATGCACCGCCTACGTTTAAAATAATTTGCAACGCAAAGCAAAAAAAAATGCAATTGATGTTTTACTTAAACATCAATTGTATTTATAAAAGCAAACGTTACAGTTAGGCTAAGAAAGGCAATTTGCATTGACTAAGTGATTAATAATGTAATGTGTTTTATTGTAGTTTTAATAAGTTAAGTAGGTATTTTTTTTAAACATTCGAACAATAACTATAATCTCATAAGACTTGAGATACGTTAAAATATGCGTTAATACTCTTCAGATTAGAAAAAAAATTGTATGTTAGGAAAATAGAAACCTGTTACTATGAAACGTTTAAAAGCTAAATCTTCAATTAAACATGTGTACAAATCAAATAGTACGTATTTGCACATAATATTGTAAGAAGCGGTAATAAATAAATTATTAAGAGAATAATTAGTAATATTTGTATTTAAAATAATAATAATTATTATTGTATTTAAAAATAATAATAATTGTATTTAAAATACTTAACCGACGGCAAGCTAAATTTAGGTAAAGATTAAGTAAAAATATTAGACACATTAAAAGTGGTTATAACCATCTACAGAGCATTTCTTTTAGTATTATTTGAAATATTTTAAACGAATTTTTCATTCCTTAACTCCCTGCAATTACTAAATAAAGTAAGTATTAAAGTAAGTAAGTATTAAAGTAATTTATTCATCTTTCGGTTTTTGAAATAAATCATTTATCACTAAGGTGCCATTAGAGCTGTTTATCATAATAATTATGTTACCACACTTTTATCTTTCATTCTAGTTTGATAAACATTTGTAATTTGTAGAAACTTTTCGAAATAATCTACGTATAACATTCTTAAACAGTCTACGAACGGTAAAAATATTCAATATGTATTTAACATTTGTTTGTGGAAATTTAATTTAGCTTGATCTTAAATCCTTATAAACAGAACCTTATTAAAACCTTACATTTTATGTAAAAGTCTTCTAAATCTACTATCAAAATTTTCAATAAAAATAAATTATGTTGCACATAGGTAATATTAATTCAACATACCAGCACTCTCCACAGCTCCCGGTGACACTGGCACAGTTTCACACTCCCGCTCATCTCTCCGTTGCTCAAATTCACCCTGCACTCGAGATACCTGCCTCTGTCCGTTCAGTCCTAATATAGCGTCTATTGTATGCCTCGGACCCTGATTCACACTCGTAGGCACTTGAGTCAAGCCTAATCTAGACTTCACTGCATCGAAACTCTGATTCAAATGTTGTATTTGCTGTGCGTGAAAAAACATTCCCATTCTATTTAGCGTCTCTAAGTTTTGTTGGTGTTGTGATAACGTTATTGATTGATCTGTCACGTTTATAGATGAGCTAGAATTGGGGCTGCTCATCTGCGAGCGTGGACTGTTCGTGTCGGAACGGTCCGGTGTTTGGTTGCCGTAAAATCGTTCGTCGGGCGCGTCCATCTCGCAGCAATACGCGTACGTCACTGGCGCTCCGAAACTACTACTAGACCCGGCGGGGTAGAAGAAGGCGGAGCTTATTCAAAGGGGGGCGAGCGAAATTGCCCATTGAAAGTGCGAAATTTGGGGTCGCGAAGTGATTTTGTTTGGTAAGAAGCAAGAAGCGGCGTATTAGCATTTTCCCCTTAGAGTTTCTTTGAACTGTATTGAGAGTTGGTGATGGTTGAATAGTTTTTTTTTCTGTTTGATTGGGTCGATTGTGCTAGGTGTTAGAGTGTTGCCGGGAGTTTGTTAGCGATTTCTTTGAGGGTTCTTGATGTTCTGGGCCCTTTGCTTGTTGCTTCGTGCATGGATGTTATAGAAGTTTAAGTTCGTGAAGTACGAGCCATTGAAAATAGATAGATTAAAAACTTTAACATATGTATTCAAAAAATATAAGTGAATGGGTGTTTGTAAATATGTATTAAAATATATCAATCAATCATTTCTTATAATAAGATATCCAATCAAGTACTTAAAAACATATTGTAATTACAGACAATTTCGAATCAAACTTAATGCCCAGCTAATCAAGACTTTTTTGCATACATTAGTAGCTACTCGGCAAAAAACAAACTAAGCGCAGTCGAAACTTCCAATTACGCAAATGCTAATGAACTCGATTCTAATTAATGACGATAATCAATACGGGGCCAATCAGACGCTACCTGTCTCAGAGCGGGGAGGGAGAGGGAGCGAGACCACGCCGGACATCTGCCTGTTAACACACAAATTTAACCAAATCGGTTAACCCGTAACCAAACAATAACAGCTTTTCCAACTGACCAGAGAGGGGATAGTACCATGACTTATATCTTATACACAACTATTGAAAAGTCATTTGTATATACTAAGCTATAGAGCTTAAATTTGTTGTTTGCTTAAACGTAAACTTAGGACGTCTAGACATAAGATATAGAATCGTCAATATAATTTTGTCTTCTTCACTCTTACAAAGATCTCGCTTGCTCTCATCTCAGGTGTAGCGACGGTTGCTAGGGGGCGGGGCGCGTTGTGACGTCACCCGTCGATCGACCAATCGCTGAGGGGGTTTTGTTTTTTTCTTGGTGCGTCTTGTATTGTCGATGCGTTTCTTTTGTTCGACGTTCAGTGATTGTTCGCGGCCCGCTGTTACACGGTTAACTTTGAAATAACAAGCTACTGGCTTTTTTGCAAGATAATTTTATCATTTTATTTATATATTTTATTAGTTTGCATGCATTAATAATTATTTTATCTAAGATAATGAATAAAATTAGTAATTACCTTTAGAAAAATTAATTGAGATGTAACAAGCAAGCAAATACAAAATTATTTTCTATTGGCTATGAATAAAGTCTGCAAAAATAGGAAACATCAGAATTTTACTCGAATTGAAGCTGCAGAGACATTCCTTCTAGAAAATTCTTCAGAAAATTGATAATAATTTATATTTAAAAAAATTATATTAAAAATTTACGATCCGTCCGGCAGCTATATGTACCTGTTTGCTTAATTTTTTTAGGTACCTTCGTAAAGTGTTGACACATAGATTTGTCATCAATCATTGGCAATTTCACAACTTTAAAACCTTAGTAAGTTATAGTCAAACGGTTAGTAGTTTCTCCTATACCTACCTACATTTCAAAATGTTTGTTCAATTTGCAGAATTCATAATAAATAAATGGTGTACCTAGTACGGAACGCGACTGCAGTCCATGAGGCCACGGGTTCTTTTCCTGGACCGGGCAACATTTTATAGGGGTTTTCTGAGAGGAAAACTAGCCCAAGTTCCTCTTTATATAGACAGCTACCTGGTAAAAAATATCAAAATCCTAAAATCGTTAAATCAGATGGCGTAGTGGTTTAAGTAGTCGCCACGCTGCTTCCTACTACGCTGAGTGCTGTGGGTTTGATCCCCACATGGGACGACACTTTGTGTGATCCACAAATTGTTGTTATGAGTCTGTTTGTTCTTTGTGTCCGTTTCATGTATGTTGGTAAAGTCCCCCGAGACACAAGATACATTCCTAAAGCGGGAGTTGTGTTTGTTGTTTAAAAGAACAAAAACCCTATAGATATATAAGGTAATAGGTATACATACATATAATAATAATAATAATAATTTCACACATCTCACACACGGCCGTCTGATCCCAAACTAGGCAGAGCCTGTACTATGGTAATCAGACTGCTGATAAACATACTTATATATTTCTAAATACGTACATAATATACTTAGATAAATTACACCCAGACACAGAACAAATAATCGTGCTCATCACACAATTATTTGTCCTGGGTGGGAATCGAACCCACGACCTCCGGCTTAGCAGTCAGGGTCACTAACCACTAGACCAACAGGCCCATCAATATATATAGATTATACATACTATTTAGTAGTAAATAATAGAGACACACTTAATTTTCATCCTTATCACCTGGATATTTGGCGCTCCACTACTGTGCGCTTTTCGAGACACTCCTTGCCTCGCAAAACCAATCTGTGGAACGGGTTATCGTGTGCTGTATTTCCGGACCGATACTACCTTTAAACCTTCAAGAAAAGAGCGTTCTCCGTCCTAAAGGGCCGTCAACGCGTTTGTGACCCCTGAGTTGCAGACGTTCATGAGCGGCGATGGTCACTTTCCATCAGGTCACCTGATCTCTCTCTGAGCGACAACTATCCAGGTGATGAGGATGAAAATTAAGTGTGTCTCTATTATTACGAGGCAGACGAGCAGACAAGTCACTTGTCTGCTCGTCTGCCCCCTCAAACATAAAAAAAGCGATATTCTGAAGACTCCCTCATCAAGTCTCTATAGAGCTTCCGTACTTTTACGAGCAGACAAGTCACTTGTCTGCTCGTCTGCCCCCTCAAACATAAAAAAAACGATATTCTGAAGACTCCCTCATCAAGTCTCTATAGAGCTTCCGTACTTTTATGAGCAGACAAGTCACTTGTCTGCTCGTCTGCCCCCTCAAACATAAAAAAAGCGATATTCTGAAGACTCCCTCAACAAGTATCTATAGAGCTTTCGTACTTTAAGCTTAAAAGTGTATCGGTTAGTGGACATCCTGATTTCTAGTGGGAGTGTGTTCAAAAAACTTAGCTAGAACAGGGAAGAAAGAATAGACGATATTGTAAATATGTGAAGGACAAATGACAATTAGAACAGTTCTCCATTTCTTAATTTTACATACACCCTTAGGAGTAGTATTTCCCTTTCAAATGTAGGTAAATTGGACCAAACGGGAACTATACTTACTCAATCATATAATAATAACTAAATCTAGGAACGTAATCCGAACTCTCTTTACCTTGAGATATTCTTACCAAGCGTAGAAGGTACCTGAAAGATAAATAAGGTATATAAGGGAAAGTAAAATTAGATAATATTTCGCTGACATGAAATAACATGGCTAACTCCACTAACTTTCATCCTCATTAACGATTTTATCATTAATATTCCACTGCTGGACTTAGGCCTCTCCTTAGAAAAGAGGTTTTGGCCAATACCACGCTGGCCAGACCGGGTTGGTTTCAAGTTTTCCTTCCCTCTACAGATTAACGATTTAAACGAGCTTTCTTATCCTATGAGTCGGATTATTCCAATTCATTATAACATATTATAACAGTTCATTGCGATTTATCCTCGACTAATGTCATGGCTTGAATCTAAGCAATGAGGGCGAATAGTATTTTTTCCCTCCTTTTTTTTCTTTTTTTTCTTGCGGAAATACCCTCGGATACCACGCCGTCTTGGGTACTAATAGCCGGGGAACCAGGAAAGGAAGTCCCTGGTGCCCCGACATACCTCGGGCCATCTACAACAACAGGTAGACGACCCCCCCCCCCCCCGTGTTTGAATCCCATGTTCCCTCTGCTCCCTGGAAGCGAGCGCGCTTCGCAACGCGCTCGCCGGCATCCCGGCCTGCTTCTACTAGGGTGACAGATGGCCTCACCTGTCACCCCCAGGCCTGCGCTTATGGAGGACGGAGGTCGTACTGCGACCTCCGGCGCCTGAGTCGCCTGCGGTACCTGGCCCGTTCCCGGGCCTGGCGGGCCGGGCGAGTCCCAAACCTCTCCCGGTCCCAGTATTTTTTCCCTCCTCAATAATAATATATAATATATATTTATAACTTATAAATCGTCGTATCTAATAACACCATATATTCCCTCTAGTATGTTATATATTCACCTAAGGCCAACAAATAGATATTATGTGCAATTATCACTTTTTATAGTTATGTATATACTACTTTGATTTCTTCTTCTTATTCTTCTTTCCTAACACACCAGCAACTACCCAATACCTCCTCCTTTTCATGTTTTCTCTCCATACCACGGTTACCTGTAAGAGATTGCCTCTGGCCGATAAGGCCGCCACTTGTACTGAACTAGTTTAAGGTAATTATGTATATTTATACCTGGTGTACAATAAAGTGATGTATTATTATTATTAATCTTCTATACAAATAAATAAAATTGGAGTGTCTGTTTGTAATATTAAAATAACCGCTTTTTACTAAATGCATATGTATGTTTACACGGTACATATGCCAAAATAACATTTTTTTGAATTTTTGTAGGCACCTTTTTTTAGACTAGCTTCGCCCCGCAGCGCTGCCCGCTGTTATAACAACAAACGCAGGTAACACCGCGGGTTTCAGCTAGTATAGAAATAGGTACAATACATGGTATGTGGATCTAGCGACTGTGTAGTAACAGAACTCATACTCCATACTTATATAATAAATGTCAAAGTGAGTTTGTTTGTTACGCTTTCACGCTTAAATCACGCGCGGTAATGAGTAGCTTACGTCCGTCCTTCCTTATCCAAATAGCTCCATGTAGTTTAATTAAAAAAGCTTCAACGGCAGTAAATCGTAATTTAAACGTGGGAGACCCATGCTTCGGCACGAATGGGCCGGCTCGACCGTAATGATACCACGGCCTCACAGAAAACCGGTGTTAAGCAATT